CCCTGCATTCCTGGCCCAACGAGCTGTGCCTCGACAAACATTTGAAGACTGGGTTCCAGCTCGGAATCCTGAGAATCCTGAGACAAAATTCTGGGTCAAACATGTTGAGACATGTTCAGGATTTTTAGATGTCTTTAGATTAGATGCATGTTTTTCCACAAAGATTCAGTACATTTCAGTACTATTGGACATTTAATGAGAATCATTGATGGTGTTTCCCATTCTGAGGCAGCTACACCCCGGGATTGCGAGGTCTATCAACTCTTTATTCAGCCACTTGCCGTGAAGTCGCCGTTTCTGTGGCAACCCAGAAACAGTGGCCACTTTCAACGAGATTTGGATGATTTTTCGATGTTTTAGTGATTATTACTTTTACAGTGACTTTACAGTACGATGGTATCATAGATGTTGGGTATTTGTCTCTTCGGCGGTTGATTGTTGAGTCGAAGAGTCGGACGTCATGTTTTCTTTGGGTCTTTGAGCAGAGTTGCTGGGGTCAACCTATGTCGAGGGGGGCCACAAGGTTTGGAAACTCTTTGCACCAATCTGAAGAGCCTTGGCAGCACATGATGTTTTTCATGTCGATTCTGGGAAGGTAGTTTGCACATTATCTCAAGAAACCCATTGCAACACAATTTCGTAGGGAGTCCCATGTAAGGAATCTTAATCAAAGAAACCCAAGTCGTCGGTTTCGGATGGTTTTTTTTGTTCCAGATGTCTGAATGGCATCAATGTCTGAATTTTCGACTTCCAAGACATTCACCCATTTCACCCGTTTCACCTGTTCAGGAAGAGATGCGACCCTACGTTCACCGGCTGGTGACAATCAACTGGATCGAAGAGAAGGCTGAAATAACGGCCCGGCACTGGGATGATGGTTCCAGATGGATCGCATCGTCAGACCATGTTGATATTGAAAACCATGGTGACCTGGGCTGCCATTGTAAGAAAGCCCCAGAAAAATTGCATAGTGATGCAGAGTGAATCAACAAAAGATACAAAAGAATGAAGGAAGGAATAAGGGAATGGATGAATCAACAAAACGACTGATAAGTGACCAGATAAATGAAGATATGTTTATAAAGTTTATGTCAACAACATTTTGTCATATGATGTGATATGATGTAATCTGTAATCAACACTTTTGTATAAGTGAAATATATATATATATATCCTTTGGAATGGATCATGTACGTCTCAGTATAGGCCCAGTTTCCAAACATAAATCAAGGGAATCATGCCACCTACGCAGACTCAGTAAAGAGCCAGGTGTGTCAAAAGAATCAAAAAGACCCACTGTCTACAATTGAGCCATCCAAAATACTTGTTGATTGGTTCTGAAATAAGTGATACCAATACTATACGACCTGGTTTGATGAGGATTATAAACTAAGCCATAGGAATATTGACTAACCAACCAGTATGATTGGCATCCAAATATCAGGATATACATATATATATACATATATATATACATATATATATATCATTATATATAATCACTATAAGCATTATAATCATTATCACTATAATCCTTATATATCCGCCCTTTTTTTTCCATGGAGATCCCGGTCGGAAAAGGAGGACCTTGCCTTGGTGGAAGATCGGCATTGGGACGCCTGGGCGATCCCAAAAAAGTTGGTTCGGACGCCTGGGCGATGTCCAACACAAGAAGCAATGGTTAAATATGTGGTTAATCATTAACTGATAAATATGTGGTTAATCCATATGGTATTCTATATATATATATACAAGTATAATATCTAATATGATGACTGATTGGTGGTTTCAATTTTTTTAATTTCCATTTCAGATATGGGATAATCCTTCCCATTGACTAATATGTTTCAGAGGGGTTGAAACCACCAACCAGTTAAATGTTTAAAGAGGTTAATCATTATGGTTAATCATAATAGTATTTATGAATAAATATGTTTAATCATTAAATATGGTTAAATATTATCACTGATAACCATTTATATAATAATATTTATACTGGTTAATCATTATGTTATGTTATAAATGGTTATATATAATTTATACTATCATCATGTTATATTATATCATTGTATGGTATAAAGATGATGACACCAATGTGATACCATCATTACATCATTATGTTAGATGATGCTTAAAGTCATGGTATGGTGGAAGTATTAACAGAAAATTCTAGACGATAAAACATGATATTTCTAGATAAGATGATAAAACATCATGCTGACACCATGACAAAACCAAGCAGAAATTGGGTATCTCGGAGATGGGATGGGATATCAAGCAACCTTGGATAGCAGTGGCTGCCCGATCTACCCCGGTTGATTAGTTGGGGGATGATAGCCCATGATTGGGGATTCTAATACTATCAGTAGTCCAAGAACGGGAAATCCCATTTCTTAACCAACCAGGAGAGGGATTTTGAACACTGCTCAGTTGTTTTTCCAACACTTAGCCGCCCACTTTGCGGCTTGACAAGGTCAAACTCTCCTCGTGGTGGGAGTTTGACAGGATTTTCATGAGTCGTCCTTCTTGAAGCAATTTTGGTGTTTGTGAAAATGTGATCCCTGTTTTAAATGGTTATTTTAATCCAGACAAATGATAATAAACCATGATAAACCAGTATTTTTTGATTTTGAGGTAGCCATAGGGTACCCTGTTTGAAAAGGCAGTTCCCATGATGGAAAAATTGTTGCTGAAAATCGGATGGGTGAGATCGCATTTTCAATGCTGGGAATCTCATCCTCGGTGAACCCCAGATTCGGTTTTACCCAGAATTTGTAAAAAAAAAACAAATGTGGTATCTTTACCTACAAAACTGGGTCATTTATGGGGTAAATGTTGGTAAATATTCCAGCACCATGGAGCATATGGGTTATATATCATTATATATATTTATATATCTATATCAAATTACAATATTCGCAGTAAAAATCTGTAAAAATCCTAGGAACATAGTATTCCCCTTTATCATTGATGCCCCATAGTGGGGTTGACTATCCTCAGGTGGTCTTGGCAAAGCTTGAGGCGGGAGGACTGTGCAGATTTTTTTTGTGCAGATGCGCTCTGGGCGATGAAGGGATCAAATTTCCTAGGTCGATTACATAAATTCACTCTGTATGTACCCTCTGGTAAACTAACATAGCTATGGAAAATCACCATGTTTTTATGGGAAAACTCACTATAAATGGCCATGTTCAATAGCTATGTAACAAATTACCAGAGGGTATATATCATTTTATATCTTTATACGGAGGTTCCTGAAATGAAGGTCAATCAGTCAATCATCCCAAATGAGACAATGACTTAGTATTTTTCAAGCCATGGTTTTCCTTGGGGATCCCTCATGACTTAAGAACCCCTACGTAGGGATCGTAGGGCAAATTGCCCATTTTTGGAACGAAACCTGGATTTGTCGCCCATGAAGGCTGGCAAGACGGGTAGAGCCCTTAGTTGTGCTGCACTTTGTCAATGGGCTACAGGAAAATTCGTAACGTGAAAATTGCCACGAGTTTTTGCTATGTGTACTATTTGGGGCTATACATCATTCTTGGACACAGACGCTATTTTTGCCATACAAAAATGATCCCAAGTAGAATTTCACAGAGATTTCACAGAAACTTTGGATGGTTGAAAGCCTAATTCTGGTTGGTGGTTTGGAACCATGGAATTTTATGACTTTCCATATATTGGGAATGTCATCATCCCAACTGACTTTCACACCATCATTTTTCAGAGGGGTGGCGAAAAACCACCAGCCAGTTCTAGTGGGATGTTTTTACCAACTGTTGCAGGATTTCGCATCCGGAATTCTCGCTGAGGTGGTCCCAAGAAGAACTTCCGTAGAGATTGCCAGTGTGCAGTGCTTTGAGCGAAAAAATAAGGCCCTGGTTGGGTTTAAGTCGAAGTGACAAAAAAAACACCAAAATGATGGTATAAAAATAGTATGGGGATTTATGATGATTATGGAAAAGAATTGCCTGTTTATAGGGTGATTTACCAAAGATGGTTGATGAATGGTTTTTTTAATGGTTGGGAATGTCATTGACATGGCCAGCTGGAAAATCATGGCGGAGAAACAAAACAGATGGCCGTGAATGGGAAAATCGTCCAACTAAACAAGCTACCCTCTGGTAAACTAACATAGCTATGGAACATCACCATTTTTAATGGGAAAATCCACTATTTCTATGGCCATTTTCAATAGCAAACTGTAACAAATTACCAGAGGGTAGGTCCGGTAGATCTGGATTGTCGTAGCTTTTCGAAAGTTCGGAGCTTTGAAACTTTGGGTCAGAATTTGTTCAGCACGAACAAAACAGCATTTCGTAGATGATTTTTGGTATTAACCTCTGGTAATGACTGTTACATAGCTATTGAAAATGGCCATTGAAATAGTGGATTTTCCCATTAAAAATTGTTATTTTCCATAGCTTTTTGTAGGTTTACCAGAGGGTAACCATATGTATCCATAGGGTTTTTTTGATCTATGGGATCTATGGGTCTTATCCACAGAGATGGTGGTTAAATACCATGTATTTATTGGTGACTTGTATATGTTTGGCATATTATTTAGGTAGCCAAGTTTGAAAATGCTCAGCTTCCGTGGATCTCAGTCAGATTTGTAGTTCATGGATGCACTGATCATTCTCAATATATTGGGCAGTGTAGCAAATATTGGGTAATATATGAATATACATGGATGATATCATTCCAATGTCAAGTTCATGATTGTTCCTCTGTTTGGGTCGTCTCATCCCTAACGAACAATGTCACAATCATGAAACAGAGGTCAATGGCACTGTGCAAATCTGTGCGATTGCGATTGCGATTGTTGAATGTGTTGAATGTGTTGAATTTCGACAGCATCTAAAAATCCCATTAAATCAGCTATAAATCCCAGTAAATCAGCTATAAATCCCATTAAATCAGCTATAAATCCCATTAAATCAACCATTGCAGACAGCATCCATTCAAAAAAACTTCGCACCGAAATTGTGGTGTCCTATGGTGTCCGCACCTTGCCATGCCACGATGGAGGGCGATGTACTCCCAGGCCGGGACATCCGCATTTTCCGTGGGAAATGCTGGGAAAAAAGCTGGGAATTCCAAGTTCAAGATCTGCATTTACATGATGTGTGAAAATATTTCTTTACATGATTTACCCTCTGGTTATGACTAACAGTTCGCCATAGAAAATCACCATTTTTCAGTGCGGTAAGCCATCTATTTCTATGGGCCTTCATTTCCCATGGCTATGTAACAAATAACCAGAGGGTATATCAATGGGAATTTCAGGATCCTAAAATGGAGGTACTGTACCATATTTTTGGCCATATTTTGTGGGGATATTCCCTTACATAGGCCTAAAAAATAGGCCAAAAATATATGGAATCGGTACCTCCAATCAATCGGATCCTGGCCAGCATGGCCATTGATCACATAAACATACATAAACCATCCTATTTTTGATGGTCTATACCACCCATTTATGGCATTTATGGCCCTTGTTATTTATGTTATTTATGTTACACTTTAGGCACCAAAAAGCCACCAAATCAGATGGGGACAACGGGACAACGGGCCTTGGGAGGTGACTCCGGAAGATCCACGACGCTCGGTCCGGCGGGCGGTGGTCCGGAGGATTTTTGAAGGCGAAAACTGAGGCTCCAAGATGTTAGAGATGATTATCTTACTTCATATAATATATTTAGATAGATATATATATATATTATATACACATTCATATTACATAAAAACGTGCTTCATATTTCGCTTCGACTCTTCTATCTATTTTCCGGGGTGCAAAAGAAGTTACAGCCCTGTTGATAGAGAGGAGGGGATACTACCTGGTTTAGGGATCATTGCTGGCAATAGGCGGAACTATGCACCAAGCAGTATAATGGAATAGGCTGGGATAGGATAAGGACATCATTGGTTGATATTTCTTGGAGTTGTTTGGGGCTTGAAACATGCTGAAACCGCTAAATCATCAATGGGATAATGGGTTTTTGGGCTGAATCCCGCCAAACCAACCGTGGGTAAAGGTGAGAGGGGACAAACTTCTTGGACTTGGCCTTTTGGTGCTATCCGTACGGTGTACGGGCTCCAGGCTTCTGTAAATTGGCAGCGTTTCCCCTTCCCAATCTGTCGATCTTGTGGGGAAGATCCTGAACTTGACAGTCTTTCCAATTGCAGTCGAGTCCCCAAAATGTGTGGCAGAAAGTGTCGAATTTGCAGGCGTGGACCTAAAATGCTTTGAGAGTCTCCCTTGTTTCTCCGTTCGTTCCAGCTGAAGTTTTCTGTCCTAGAATCGCATCATCTATGGAGTCCAGATTGACTGGGGTGGCGAAATGTTTTCCGGCGAAATGTATTCTATATTGATATGGGTATGGGTCAATACCTATTAATACCATTTTTAGTGGAATGAACATCCATTTACCAGCTATGTTGATGTTCACCAGGGGTATAGGGTTTTGACCTATACCCATATATTGTTCCTCTAAAACCGAGGTTTCAAATCCAAAGAAACAATCATAGAACACTGTAAAAACCTAAGTTTGGGCGGTTCCGGAGAAAATGGGACCCTGAAATCATCCAGTTTCTGGGACTTTAAAGTTGAAACCCATCCAGCATCATCCCGCGCAGTTTACTCCCAGGAAGTTGCTCGCACTGGCATTGCACTGCTGGGGGCCAGAGAAGCCACAGCTGGTGAATGTGATTAGTTCGTGACTTAAATGGGTTTGTTTTAACCATCATTATATGGCATATTGCGTGTATATATATATATATCAAAATATGATGATATAAGATAGAAGTGATATAACTGATGGTTGATTGATGATTGCATGGGGTTATGCTAACCAATATTAATTGATATTAGGGGAATCACTGTTCACCAAGAAGTATATAGGGACGCCAGGGGGTTTTGAACAAGTGAATAGTGGATGCAGCCGCGATTTGCTGGTGCAAGCTGAGAATGTTCTGACCGATTCATGCTCACCATGTTCAAAAAGCTAATAGAAAATCCAAGAAATAATACTTGGTGATGGGTCGCCAGGTAGCTATATGAAGAACATGAAAAATTCTGGGATTTATGGATGCTAATCCTCCCGCAGCAGGATGTTGCCTGTTGATATAGATAAGGTTATAGGTTGATGTGCCGGAAAACGCTCGAAAATTGGCCGGAACACCGCCTAAAATTGGATGGTTCAAGCCTGGTTTCCTTTTTCATATTCTCGTCAATCCAATGATGAGAAACAGCATCGCAGCGTGTATGGGATTATGTAAACAATGTAAAGTGACTCCATTTTCTGGTGAATGGAATAAGAGGCTGACAGTTGCGAATTTTCTATCGATTTCATGGCTGTGATGGAAAGTTGTTTCCTTACTCCTCAAATTGCGCAGCGATTGCGACGACTGAATCACTCACAATTGGTACCAAACTGCTGGTGTCAAATATTTGTCGTCAACTTGTTGGAAAGCACCAAAAGTCTTCCAAAAACATGAACGAAACCACCATCTGGATAGATTCGAAAGCACCAAATTTCCATTTCGTAACTTGATCCTCCCAGGTCAAACGCGGATGCACTGCGAAGCGATCCTTCCAGGCACTCCGTAAGTGGTCACGTGGGGTTTTTTGCCATGAAATACTGGTGATATTCTATGGGATATACTATAGAACAAGCAATGTGCATATTATGCGGTTTTTTCATGGGATACCAATCAGTGTAATCAACACTTTGTAAACTCGATTTGTTTGGCCCGTTTAGTCCAATGATTTACCTATGACAGCCATTTTCTGTAGCTGTGTTTTGATTACCAGATGGTATCTACCCTCTGGTTATGACTAACATATCCATGGTATAGATGGCCCATTTATAGATGGTTCACCTATTAAAAATGGTGGTTTTCCATGGCTATGTTAAAAAGACCTCGATGCTTCGGACACCAGGTTTGAAGTCTGTGAAGGCTACCAGGTTTCAAAGAGTCTGAAAAAGAAAAGAAATTATATAAGCTTAAGCATCTTAAGCAGAAATGCAGAGGTATAACTACTTTACCAAAACAATCCAAAACATACTACCATAATTTTGTCCAGAAATAATGTAAATAAACCCAAGAATCAACAGTTTACAGGTGACATGGTGACATGGTGATGTTTGCTCCAAAACCTCAGAAGATACCTAGTTAAAAAATGAAAAAATAGTAATAACCATAATAATAATAATAGATCATAATAGATAACAATAGGTCATGATAGATAATGATAGATAATGATAGATAATGATAGATAACAATGATAATAACAATGATGATAGTAATAAAACAATAATTATGATGATGATGATAATCATAATATATGATATCATATAATTTCACAATAAATCGAAGAAGATTCACCATCCCCAGGTGCTAAAATCATCGTTCCAAGGCCTGGCCCCACTGCGCGGCGGCGTGCGGCTTCGGCGTTGCACCTGCGGCCCGCAAGGGGCGCCACATCGCCAGTGGCTTGGCTGGCTTGGCGACTCTGGAAGATGGTGAATTCATGTTAATTAAATCAGTATTGTATATGGCTAATATATGATCTGAGTATATGGATAATATAACATATCAATCCATATCACATCACATACATTTAATCTATGGAAAATACCCTCTGGTAAACATACAAAAAGCTATTGAAAATGGCCATTTATAGTGGATTTTCCCATGAAAAATTGTGATTTTCCATTTTTTTTGTATGTTTACCAGAGGGTAAATCAGTTTTAGCCTCTGGTAAACTCACATAACTATGGAAAATCACAATTGTTTATGAGTAAATCAAACTATTTCTATGGTCATGTTCAATAGTTTTTTGTATGTTTACCAGAGGGTAACCAAATTAATTATTAAATAAGTTAATAGTATTTTTTGATGATATTAATATCGTTTGAAATCAGTATGTTTGTGTTTTTGGTAATATTAATATCAATTACATCAGTATTAATTATGTGGTTAATACTGATTTAATTAACATGAACCATATGTGGTTAATGACAAAAAAAAACTAATTCCACTAAATTCAGTGCTGTTCCAGCTCACTTGTTTGTTAACTATGGTTACTTAATGTTAATTTTATATGGTGAATGGCCTTGGTGAATACACTAGCTGAAAGGGCAATGACCGATCCTTAGGGGTATTCAGCTCGGAAAATCCGCCAGTGGTTCGATGATTGCGAAGAAAAACTCCATTGAAAGGGCAATTGTCCAGTTCCTATCCCTCTATCCCTTCTCAGCCCCCATGAAAAAAGGTCCCAAACATGTGGAAGGGATTAGATAAATTATAACTGGTCTAGAAAAATGTCTATATGAATCCCGCTCATCCAACAGATGGATATGATATCAAATTGGGGATGATCACAGTGGGAATGTCCGGATGTTTCCAAGGGGCTCCAACTGTCGTCTAAAAAGCCTTCGTCAAATTCGTCGTCAAGAAAAAGCACTGCAACATTGCAATTTACCAAAAAACAAACCATGTCCAGCTTTATAGAAGTTCAATGAATTTCATAGATACTTCGTAATTATAATCCAATTTCATATAACTATAAGGTAATAGGATAATAAGCAGTCAACTTTCATGACGGAGTTATGGAAAAAAATCCACCAAGGAAATTTCGAATTTCCAATGTCAAAATTGTCCAATGGAATATTGGAAAATCTTCAAAAATGGTCGAAAAAATCTCCAGTTTCTCCATTTTTCCCATGGAATTTCCCATGGGAAATTCCACCCTAGCACCAGGTCGTAGTGGTCTTCGGAGTGACGTCCAGTTGGTGGCTGGGCCAAGCACCATCCAAACTTTGCGAGGACAGCTCTGTGGACGAGAGGCGGGCTTTGGGAGATCGATTTGGATGGGATTTACCCTCTGGTAGTTTAACATAGCTATAGAAAATCACCATGCTATTAATGGGAAAATCAACTATTTCAATGGCCATTTTCAATAGCTATTTGTATGTTGACCAGGCCGGGTAGCTGGAATTTTTCATCTGGGATTTCTGTGGCTTGATCCATAAAGTGTGAGGATTTTTTTGGGCAGATCCATGGAGTCGCAACTCAGTTGGGTCGTTGGGCTACTGTAGCTATGACTAAAAAAAGGTGCGAAAAGAACATGTCGGGCGGTTTGCCAACGGTACCCCATCATTGTTGGGTTGATGTTGGTATCTCTACCTTGAAATCCCAACAATGATGTTGGTTAATGGATATGTTTCCTATACCTGTTGTTATAACCAACAATAATCTACACAGAAATCCAGGTGGCCCACATCCCAACATATCCCAGGTCGCCCTCATCCTTTGTGGAGAAGCCCATGAGGACGCCTTTCGTCCAGCATATCATGTGTTGATGAAGGTTGATTTGGCTTTGAAAATAGGGTAGCCGTAAATCCATATGGATGTGAAAGATATATATATATACTAATGGAATCTAGTGAATATATTATCGAGGATATAGTAATGGATATTAATTAATGATATTTAATGGATTCTTTAGTCAGATTAATATTTCATATTTGCTCCTCGAAATGGACATTTGAGGGATATACTTCAATGTGACCCATTAAAAATACCGCTGTTGATGGTCCATTATATGGATACCCATCAACCAACCAGCATCATGGGATATAGTTATTTTTTATACCTCATGTAGAGACGGGGTGTGCCTTTCATCTTTGTCTTTCAGAATTATTTCAGGTTCCAAGGATCTCCAATTGATAAAAATGTCCCAAGTATTTGATGATGTTGATATATGTTGATCATTATTTCATCAATATTTTACCCTCTGGTAATTTAACATAGCAATGGAAAATCACCATTTTTAATGGGTAAATCCACTATAAATGGCCATTTTCAATTGCTATGTTAGTTTACCAGAGGGTAAAAGATTTGACGAATTTTGATGAAGATGTCCATACGTGACCGACCTTTGGAGCCAGGATTGTATCGATCTGACTCGAAGTCGAAGCGTTTTGGAAGCCACCTTCGGTCTCTTGGCTTTCGATGGGAAATCACCATTGTCAATAGAAAACTCAACTATAAATGAATTAAATGGACCATTTTCAATAGCTATGTTAGTTTACTATGTTAGTTTACCAGAGGGTACATCAAACCATCATATGAATCATATTTGATGGGAAAAACCAGGAAAAGACATGGAAAAACTGTAGCTGTTCCCAAACAAAACCCAGTGAGGGTCTTCATCAGCCCGGGGGATTTGCCCAGCGGGGCCCGCTGGGATTCCAATGTGGTAATCCTTTGAACTGGAAACCAAGGCCCAGCAATACTTTGATTTATACGGATGAATCAATGATGAATTGGTTAATGATACATGATTAGCCATAAGATTATCCATTATATGGTTATTGATATATATATATATATTAATTAATTAATTAATTAATTAATACTATCCAATATTCTAACTATCTCAAAAGCTGGTGATTTTCCAGTTCGCACACTGCAACAGTTCAGAGGATGCTTCGGACTCAGCTCAAGTTGTGATCCATGACCAGATTTGGCCTACTTCTGTAAATGGTTTAACATCTTTGTCTGAAAATAAGCCACCCCTCAAATTTGATGCTTCATCAATGTTTCTCACACTTAAGTTTTCCATGTTTACCCGGACCCTTAAAGTTGCCCTTTCATTGGGGTAAATGGGGGATCCCCCAAGTCACCATGGGTTTCAATACTAAGTCATGGTCATCCATGACTGGCCAAGGAGTACCCCCATGACTCAGTCATTCAAATTCCGCAGGTTGGATTCCTACAGCCGATGCCTTCAGCTATATAACGCCCTTCCACACGAAGAATGACGTCACGCTTCATGTAGCCAAGAAGTGGGCTGCTCGCGCCATGACTCGTCACTGGATGCAATAGCGCAATAGCTGGATGTCCAAAAAATCGGCGATCCATAGTTATATCGATGATGTATATGAATATACCCTCTGGTTATGACTAACATAGCCATGGAAAATCACCATTTTTAATAGGTAAACCATCTATAAATGGGCCATTTTCCATGGCTATGTTAAATAACCAGAGGGTACATGAATTGGTTTATTGTAATTTAGAGATCTTTGATGGTGAATCCCACATGATGTTGGATATGTGTTGGATATTTGTTGGATGTAGCTGAGTACCCTCTGGTAAACGTTTACATAACTATGGAAAATCACCATTTTTAATGGGAAAACTCACTATAAATGGCCATTTTCAATAGCTATGTAACAAATTACCAGAGGGTAGCTGAGTAGTTTCATTGTGGGGGAACTAGCATTGCAAGGCGAGGATGATGGTGGCCTACTGCTCTTCCGCCTCCAAAACCCTGCTCAGGCGTCGGCGGCGGGTCGAGGGTTTTTCTTTTTTTGGGGTGGTGGTATGAACCTGCCTTTTGTATGTCACATGTATAATATGTAGATACCTACCCTTTTATATTATATATATATATATTTATTTATCTATTTCTATATATATATACTATGTATGTATGTATGTATATATATACATGGGATTGTCAGAATTCATGACTTGGGAAAGCCCATGAAAACCAAGCCTGATTTTTGGGCTGATTTCTCGATAGCTTTCCAAGTATTAGTTAAAGTATTCCCATGATATTCCCATGATATTTCCAGGATATTTCCATGATATGTCCATGATATTTCCAGGATATATTTCAGTATATCCCCAAGATTTCTCCCACGGTTTCCCATAAGATCTTCCCAGCATCTGGTCCTGAGGGCACTGGCACGGCTCATGTCTTCCGGCCTGATGAAATTCTGCCCCAGCCGGGCGCACAAGAGGTGGGGATGAGTTCTGTGGATTTCTGCGCAGAAGATGAACAGATTGGAGTTGATTACCCTCTGGTTATGACTAACATAGCCATGGAAAATCACCATTTTTAATGGGTAAACCATGTATAAATGGGCCATCTATACCATGGCTATGTTAAATAACCAGAGGGTAGATTAGAGATTAGATTTTGAAACAAGTTGATTGGAGATCAGATTTTAGATATTAGATATTGGATTAGACTAGATTGGATTAGATAGATCAATAGCTGGTCTACATCTATGGTAGGTGAATGTTGGTTTCCAATCTTCTTCACGGCGTGTTGTGTTACGGAGAAGTCCCTAGTGATCTTTCACGGTAACTCCGATCAAGGGCTGGGTATATAGACACTTCTTGTAGATGTTACATAGATGATATATGGATATATGGATATAGCTATGCAATATATGTATATGGATATTACATATATGGATATGTGGATGATATATGGATGATATATGGATGATATATGGATGATATATGGATGATATATGGATGATATATGGATATATGATATATAAATGTCAAAGGGAACGTAGTGAGAGCATACAAACAATTCATGCATGGGACGCCACTTTGGCTCAAGACCCCCTGCGTGTGTAAAAGAGAGCAATCGCTGCCTGCCATGTTCACTGGGTCCGGAAACTACCAGTAAGGCAGACACCACTTGAGATATAACATCCAGAACAAGGATCGATTTGTTCACAGGTTATCAGCCGTAGGGCTCACTTCTCCCGCCGGGAGAGTGGTACCTGCGTGCTGGTAGCCGGACCTTCTGAGCAATTGATTGAGGACGCAAAGGACCAATCAGCTCACCATCGCAAAGATGCAAGGCGGCAGCGGAGATTCGCGCACCACGCAGTTTACCTTCAATGAGAACGCTGCTATGCCGGTCGAGGAGGTGAATCAATCTTCCCCTGGCGACACGGCAGACAGTGGCGGGATACGCTCTACCCGAACTACACAGTCCGGATGGCAAGTCACATCAAACAGACGAAGAATATCCACCCAAAGTACACCTAGATCTTCTCGAAACAGTGCTCGGAGTGATGTTGTCCGCCAAGGGCATCGACCATCTCGAGGACGTACTACTCCAAGGGACAGATCCACCAGGGCCGTGACCGACCGAATTGGTGAGAGGACCGGGGATAGTCGTGTTAAGAGGAGATCAACGGATACTTCTGTGGCTAGTGAACCTATTGCCATGATAGAAGAACTACGGGCACAATGTCAATCCCTACGTAATCAGCTGAACAACATGGAAGCATACGCTGCATCCAGGGATCAACTGATTCATGACATCGAGATCAGGTTCACTGAGTATCTTCGGGAACACAATCAGAATGTATTTGATGAGGTCAATGCACTCAATCATAGATTGTCATGTTCCGCAAATGAGGTTGCAGAATATCAAGCAGAACTAATGGTAGCATCTCAGGAAGATGAAGGTGCAACAATACGCATCCAAGACCTTGAACGCCGAGGTGCCCTAATGGAACATGGTGCACGACGGATCCATCAACGTGGTATGGAGATCCAGGAGGAGTACAAGGATGAAGTACATCACCTTCAAGGACTACTGGGTAATACGGAGGCAAGACTACAACAACTTCATCAAACCAATGTCTTAACCACCGATATTGCCAATCGACTATACACTGAAGGTCAAGAAATGCAAAATGATTTCCAGAACTCAATCATGGAATATCGTAATCGATCTGAAATGGCATCCTCCTCTAGTAATCAACTTGAAGTGATTAGCCAGCAACAATCAATTGCAGTTCATGAATTATCTGAGCGAAATCAGCTATTGAGTGAAGCCTTGATTCAGTCTCGTAAACAGGCCGAGCTGTATGAGAGCAGTATTGATGAGATCACTAGGGAATCTAGGAAGAAGGTGTTCGAGGCAAATCAGGCCAAATTGGAAAGTGATCTGAAGCATCGAAACACTGAACATGATACCGTCAAAAGAATTGCATCATATAGGAACCAAGAGGCCGAAGCAATATCTCACCTGAGGCTTGAATCACAGGCTAGTGCAAACTCGATCGCAAGGGCAGAGCACTATGAAGAGCTCTATGCCAACGAGCAGAAGATGAACTGCGAATTGAAGGATGAGATCAAGTTGCAGAACACGAAGTTGCGAAGATCATTGACTCAGGGTTCTACGACCGACGGTCGTGGCCCCGAAGAGATGCTTGTTGAAGATCTACGTAATCAAGCTAAGATCGCTCAAATTAGGGTTCAGGATCTAGATCATGAAGTTCATGAATGCTTACAGGAGAACTTGTTGTTAAAAGAAAGATTGGCTGAAGTTGCGGATGTAGGGGTGTCGTCCCTCACCAATGCTGAGGTCCGAACTCTAAGATCTGAACTAGAGAGTGAGCGAAAATTGAAATTGGCGAGTGGTGTTCAACAATATGAGAGATCATGCATGTTCATGGGGGAAATCCAGGATAGGGATGAAAAGATTGGCATCAAGAATTCTGAGATTGTCGACATGAAACGTCACTTAGATGAACTGAGAAAGAGTCTCAAGGATTCTGAAACATCTATGGCTAGGATCAATCCTGACACACTTCCCTATTCGGCAGGCATTCCCAACTCCGATCTCGCATCCAGACTGGTCATCGACAAACTGGAGAATGACGTGAGTGAGGCTAACTGTGAAAACGCTATTCTGAAATCTTGGGTCTCGCAGATCGACAAGGAGTTGACTTATGAGACAAATGTAGCTCATTCCTATCGTGGGCATGCTTTACCTCCTCAACAACCACAGCATTCTCAATCAAGCAAAAGAATCGCTGATCTATTGAAAGAGGTTGACAACAAGATCGCTGGCGGAACTGAGAGGGAATACTACAAGCCACCGAGTGGATGGGGCGGTCCGCCTGACCCTGATGGACCTCCGGACCCTTTCGGGCCTAATGGTCCAGGACCACCTCCTGAACCTCCTGGTTTGCCTTCGGTTCGAGGATCACAACGCGATTCAGCAGATGATGTCTCCACAGCGGCTTACACTGCGGAAGAAGTACCAAGAATGTCAAGACGAGAGGCTGACAAAGTCTATGTTAGTCCATGGCCAAAGCAACAGAATCTTGGGGTTTGGCAATCAGATCTCATCAAGAGTGTTGTCCTTTCGGCAAATGACGGGGATAAAGCCGCATGGGAGGCATGGCTACAGCCGGCTATTCGACCTAATCCTGACATCGAGCTGTTGAATGACAGTGGGGGGCAACGGTATCAGTCCATCGACGCCAAGTTGTCAATCGCATTGTCAAACGTGATAGCCCAAGCCGGTGATGTTGCTCGTCATGTAGCGATCAAATTGAGATTGAGAACACAAAGTCATAGCCGAAGAGGAACCTACGTCATGGGACGGGAAATCTTGGCTTTGATTCTGGAGCACTTCAGAACCCCAGGTCAACGAGAAACATCCTTCACCATGGAGCACATCGTATCGATGAAGTATCTCGGTGACTCGAACCTAGAAGTGTTCTACGAGAAATGGATGGAGATGGTATCAAACATGATGCCGGATGACGTACCTCCTGATGATTGGCTTCGTGATGCTCTATACAAGAAGATTCGAAATTCGAGTCTTATGATGTTTGACATCAAGCAGTACGAGTCATGGATGGAAGGAGACCAAAGACGAAATTATCGTTACCTGTTGGATGTCATCGAAAGGCATATCTCCAGAATCAGAGAGGACAAGCATGTGGCAGCCAGAGAGAAGTATGCGAGAGACTTTGCAGGCGGCGGCAAACCTTCAGCTCCTGCTCCGAACCCAACTGCTGCAGCACCGGATGCAAATCCAAAAGCGAAGCCTAAAGCTACACCCAAGGAGAAGGCAGCGCCCAAGGCGAAGGCCAAGGCCGATGCAGCTCCAGTTCTACCATCACCTCAGCCTAAACAGCATGCAAAAGGAAAAGGAAAAGGTCAAGGGAAAGGGAAGGACCGATCAAACGGCCGAAGTACCAGCCCCAGATCCAAGAAGAAGATCCCATGCCATTTCCATTTCATCAAGAAAGCATGCAGAAAAGGCAAGGATTGTGAATACAGTCACGACCAAAAGGTATTTGATGCGAACAAGAATGCAAAAGGCAACGGTCGGAAGCCAGGAACTCCAAGAAGTCAGTCTCCGGCAAACAAGACCAAGAAGATTGATGAACCATGCTGGCATTGGGCTAAGGGCAAGTGTCGGTATGGAGACAAATGCAACAAACGCCACGATCCTCATCTATTCAACACTGCTCCAAACACTGAAGCACCAAGCTCAAAGGCTACTCCTGCACTTATCCATGATTGGAGTGATGATGAAGGGACGTTCCATAAGGTTGCATCGAACGTGATCAAGAAGAAGATCAGATTTGATGAGTCTAAAACTCAAGTTCAAACTTACGTGAAGAAGGACTTCGTGAAGTGCAGCCGGAAATCCCAAACCATCCCCAAAGGTCATGGTAAAGTTGGCAAGCCCACTGATCAGATAAGGAAAGATGAGCAATGGTCTTATTCATGCAGGTTAGCTTCGAGCCGAGGGAAAGCAATGGCTATTCTGATCGATGAGAAGGGTGAACACAGTGACATTGATGAAGTCCTAATCATAGTCGGCCCTAGCATGGACATCCTGATCAGACTCGACGTCGAGGACGGTGAGGTGTCCAGGGAAGTATTTGTGGAAAACTATGTTCAGCATATTGAAGGTCGATATGGTAAAAGGGGCAACACAATGTGTATCACTGTTCCTGTTGAAGAGAGAGATAAGAGATTCATATTGGATTCTGGAAGTGGCCATGATCTCATTTCATCCACACGGATAAGTAGAATGGATCTCCCAACATACGATGACAAGGTCGTCAACTTCCATACAGCAAATGGGGTAACGTGTTCGACCAAACGTTCAAGCATCAAGTTCGAGGCATTTAGCGAACCAGCAGAAGCTCACATCTTGGAGGACACACCCTCCGTG